GCATGTAGACCTTATTTATTTATTTACTTAATAATTTCTTTTATTTTGGGAGCCCAAAGTTCTCAACCTTTTTTTATTTGACCTTTAATGAACATTACATTTTTATTACTCTATCATATTTTAGCTATGACTCAAGGTAGACCATAATTCATATATATTATATTTTGATCAATTTTAATATTTCTATGGGCAGCATCTGCAATAATCCTTTGTAAAAACGATGAAAAGTAGTTAGTTTCTAGTTTAGGGGTTGCAAAATGAAATACTTTTATCTTGGTCACTTGGATGTTTGAATAGAGAGTAGAAGTTAAGAACAGGAAGTGGTAGCGTGCTGATAAACGAAGAGTGTATATGCATCCATGGAGTCCATTCTGACTCTTTTTGAGGCTGTAAATCTTTATGGGAGCAGATGGCCTCATTATTTCCCCTGAAGATCTTGAAATGTTTAACAGTCCAATGCTTACCCGACAGCTTCACCATATGCCATTTCACAGGATTTCATACCAAATTCTTAGAAGTTTGGGGCCAGCCCTACTTGTTATTCCTGTTCAAACCTCCTTTGTTGTTGTTGTTTAAATCACTTTATTGGAGGCGTTTACAGCTCATATAACAATCCATACATCCATGTCAAGCACATTTGTAAATATGTTGCCATCATTCTTTTTAAAACATTTTCTTTCTGCTTGAGTCCTTGGTATCAGCTCCTCATTTTTCCCCTCCTTGCCCCACCCTCCTACCCTCATGAACCCTTGATAATTTGTAAATAATAATTATTTTCATATCTTACACTGACCACTGTCTCCCCTCGCCCTTGTTTCTGTTGTTCATCCCCCTGGGGGGTTGGGGGTGGCGGTTGTACATCGATTTCGGTTCCCCTTTCTCCCTCCACCTTTCCCCTACACTCATTGTATCGCTACTCCAATTATTCTTCCCAGGAGGCTTATCTTTCTTGGATTCCATGTGTGTTGAGAGCTCTTATCTGTACGAGTGTACATGCTCTGGTCTATCCAAATTTGTAAGGTAGAACTGGGGTCATGATAGTGGGGGGTGGGGGGAAGCATTTAAAGAACTAGAGGAATGTTGTGTGCTTTGTTGGTGCTATACTATACCCTGGCTGGCTCATCCCTTCCTTGTGACCCTTCTGTGAGGGGATGACCAATTGTGTACAGATGGGCTTTCAGTCTCCACTCCGCATGCCCCACCCCCCAGCGCCCCATTCGCATCAATATGATTGTTTGTTCTTGGTTTTCTGATACCTGATAACCGATCTCATCGATCCTCATGATCACACAGGCTGGTGTGCTTCTTCCATGTGGGCTTTGTTGCTTCCCAGCTAGATGGCGCTTGTTTATCTTCAAGTCTTTGAGACACCAGACGCTGTATCTTTTGATAACCAGACATGTTGAACTACACGTTTATTTTAAAATTACAAATAAACTAAAATTAAAAGTAGGTGGAAGACTTTGTAAATGATTTATATTTCACTGAGCTTTTTTGTGACATAAAATTAAAAATCTTCCAAATAGGTGTGTATAATGTAGTTTTTATGAATTTTAGAGATCATATCTCTCTTTATTGTATATTTAGCCCCCAGTGTAATGCCTGGCACATAGGTGCTGAGTAAATATTACTAAATGAATGAGTGGATGATTATACTCTTAAAGCCATTTTTGCTAATTCTGTGCACACTTAGCATAGCCACTGGGTGGCACTCAAGTCACGTTAAAAACTTTATAGTGAAAAGAAAACAAAAAAACCTTTATGGTGTTATTTCACCCATGCATGCAGCAATTACTGTTTTTCCACATGCAAAATCATGGATGGTGTAAAAAATAAATCATTTTCCAAAATTAAGACAACAACCTCTGGAAGCTATAAGTTACAGGTTTGAAGTGCTTAGATCAAAGAATATATATATGTATATATATATTGTATATATTTATTATATATATATTTATATTATATATATATATAATATATATATTTAATTAAGTCATTTTATTGGGGGCTTGAACAACTTTTATCACAATCCACACAAACATCCATTGTGTCAAGCACTTTTGTATATTTGTTTCCCTCATCATTCTCAAAACATTTGCTTTCTACTTGAGCCCTTGGTATTCACTCATTTTTCTCCTTCCTCTTCCCCATGAACCCTTGATAATTTATAAATTATTGTTATTTTGTCATATCTTACACCATCCAACATCTCCCTTCACCCACTTCTGTGCTGTCCGTCCCCCAGGGAGGAGGTTATATGTAGATTTTTGTAATCTGTTCCCACTTTCTCCCTCACCTTCCCTCCATCCTCCCGGTATCGCCACCCTCACCACTTGTCCTGAGGGGTTCATCTGTCTTGGATTCCCTGTGTTTCCAGTTCCTATCCGTATCAGTGTATATCTTCCGGTCTAGCCGGATTTGTAAGGTAGAATTGGGATCCTGATAGTGGGGGGGAGGAAACATTCATGAACTAGAGGAATATTGTATGCTTCATCATTGCTGCACTGCACCCTGACTGACTCATCTCCTCCCCGCGACCCTTCCGCCAGGGGATGTACAATTGCCCTCAGATGGGCCCTGAGTCCCTACTCTGCACTCCCCCTCATTCACAATGCTATGATTTTTTTGATCTTTGATGCCCCATACATGAACCTTTGACGCCTCATGATCTCACAGGCTGGTGTGCTTCTTCTATGTGGGCTTTGTTGTTTCTCAGTTAGATGGCTGCTTGTTTATTTTTAAGCCTTTAAGACCCCAGACTCCATATCTTTTGATAGCCAGGCACCATCAGCTTTTCTCACCGCATTTGCTTATGCACCCGCTTTTGTCTTCAGCAATCATGTCAAGACAGGCTGGTGTGCTTCTTCCATGTGGGCTTTGTTGTTTCTCAGCTAGATGGCCACCTGTTTATTTTCAAGCCTTTAAGACCCCAGATGCTATATCTTTTGATAGCCTGGCACCATCTTCACATTTGCTTATGTACCCGCTTTGTCTTCAGCGTAGATCAAAGAATATTTAATAATATTCTTTGCTGTAGCCTCAACACATATCGTTAATGTGTTGAGATTTTTAAAGTTTATGTAATTACATATAAATTTTAACTTCTTCCAACTTCATTCTTACCTCTCTTAATCCCAGATAATTTCACCTCATTATAAGTTCAGCCCAAGATTAAAAAAGCACTACGTGTTTTCAAATTTTATTCAGTTACCCTTATGAAGTCTCCTTTAATCATTAAAAAAATTCACTCAAAAGATAAATAAAAAATTATCAGCACATGAATTATATTATGCATCTTTTGCTATTTTGCTATTTCCTAATTCATCAATTAAAAGTCAGTTTGAGTATGAGTGCTTTTAAGAGAGGAATTTATTATTATAAAATTTAGGGTTATTTCAGAGGGTAAGTCAAGTTTCTTCATCTGAATAAAGGAGGATAAAAATAGATAATATATATATATATTAAAAAGATAATATACAGATAAATCCTCCAGGACCAGTAATGAGAGTAGTGATACCAGGAGGGTGAAGTGGAAGGTGGGGGGAGAAAAGGGGAACCGATCATAATGATAGACATATAACCCCCTCCCAGGGGGATGGACAACAGAAAATTGGGTGAAGGGAAATAGCGGTCGGTGTAAGACATGAAAAAAATAATAATTTATAAATGATCAAGGGTTCATGATGGAGGGAGGGTAGTGGAAGGGGGAAATGAATTGATACCAAGGGTTCAAGTAGAAAGAAAGTCTTTTGAAAATTATGATGGCAACATATGTACAAATGTGCTTGACACAATTGATGTATGGATTGTTATAAGAGTATAAGAGCCCCCAATAAAATGATTTATTAAAAAATAGATAATATGGAAATTAAAATCATACATTGATAGCATTTTAGGAAAATTTTAAAATAGAAAGTGATATTTAATTTTTGTAACTAAATATAGCAGTAGGATGAAGCTGCATATTTAAAAAAACACTTACCAAATTTAGTTCAATTCTACAATGAACCTTGCTGGCATTCACACTGATTATCTTTGAGTTTCTTTCTAACTCTGTGGTCCCAACACTGCATAGGTACTACAGGGAATATGGAAGTCACCCTTGTCCTTAACCCAAAACCCAGCTCACTGCCATCAAGGCCACTCTGTCTCCGAGACTCTATCAATAGATTGTAGCCTTCTGGGAGACCACATATGTGTATAGAGCTAATTTATAGAACAGTGGCTACAATCAGAGATGCTAGAACCAGCTCACTGTTTAACTGTGTGTTCTTGGGCAAATTATTTAACCTCTTTGTTCTTCAGTCTTTGGAAATGTAAAATAAAGATAATAATACTACTCCTTTATAGTTTATTGAGAGGTTTAAAAGAAGTAATACATGTGAAATACCAAAACGTATCTGTGACATTGTTGAATGCTATCCAAATATTTTCTTCTCTAACTGGAATATAAGCTTCAAATAATTTGTAAAATGAACAACTCACAGATGACTACTGTAAAGACTACATATTATTATTATTTTCCCAGAAGAACACAATGTTTTATTGAAAGACTACATATTATTGAGTGTAAACATATGCAGACAATATAAGCCCTTTTGGGAAATCAGGTGACTTGTTGGATCATTTCTCCAAAATTTATGAACTAGGAGTTGTATTTCAAGGAAGTGAATAGAAGGTGAGCACCAATTCTGTTGGCTTGACTAGCCATGTTTCAGATTAGGAAAAGTTAGGCATGTTACCCTAACTGGTCGGATTGGTAATCACTCATGTTATGAGTTCATTTAATATACTTGGTTTTCTGGAATTTTCAACGCTGAAATTACTGCAAATTATTGGAAACAGACTGGAATACAAATGAAGCATGTTTACTGTGTTTATGCTAAAACTATAGTAAAGCATTAAAAACTAGTACATTAAATTTTATTTTTGAAGCCACAGTCACTGATTACAAACTTTTAAAAACAAATTGCTAATGTCTTTTCTTTTATATTTTATAGGTAATTAATAATGCTTGTGCCACGCAAGCCATAGTAAGTGTGTTATTAAACTGTACCCATCAAGATGTCCATTTAGGAGAGACATTATCAGAGTTTAAAGAATTTTCACAAAGTTTTGATGCAGCTGTGAGTACAATATTTTTATTCCTATATTGCCCTATTTGTGGTGGTTCTTATTTTAATATGGCTCCTTTTGAAAATTGTCATAGATGAAAGGCTTGGCCCTGAGCAATTCAGATGTGATTCGACAAGTCCACAACAGTTTCGCCAGGTAAAGAGACTTTGTTAAATAAATACTATTTGAGGGCAATGTTGATTTAGTGGTAGAATTTTCCCCTTCCATGTGGAAGACCAGGCTTTGATTCTTCCACCCATTTGTCAGTGGACCTCTCATGTTGCTATGGAACTGAACATTGAGTTTCCAGAGTAAGGCAACCTAGGAGGAAAGATCTGGTGATCCACTTTCAGATATCGGAATTGAAAGCAGCGGATCATGCAGTCTGAACCCTTTGTGTGTGGGGTTCCATGGGCCATGGGTCAAGTTGGTAACAAGTAGTGATGATTCTTTTCTTTGCTTCTCTGTTTCTCACTTTCGTTTTTCCCCTTGCTATAGACAGCAAATGTTTGAGTTTGATGCAAAGACACCAGCAAAAGAAGAAGATGCTTTTCACTTCGTCAGTTACGTTCCTGTGAATGGAAGGCTGTATGAATTAGATGGGTTACGAGAAGGACCGATTGATTTAGGTAATCTCATTTTTCTGTACTGCTCAGGCACTACAATTAGTATACAACAAAATTTAGAGGACTTATTATTTCACTTTTAAAAAGTGAAAAATGGTTGGGTGTTTCCCTTCTTATCAGTCATCATGCTGCTTCAGTTTTGAAGGGAAAAGTGACTGAGGTTGTATCGAGCGCTAATGTGCATGATGAATTAGCCCATTGGAAAGTCATATTGGTTACTATTGTTCACTTGGGACCTTTACTTTTTTTTCTAAAATATTTTTTTAACCCAGAGATTATATAACACAACATATTTTTCCAGTTAATTTTAAAAAACTACTCTCTTTCAATCAATTAAAAAAATATTCTTCTGCGTTTTAACTTATTGGCAACAGATATCAAGCATTTCATATCATCTTGTATTAAAAATACATATAAATATATTTCAGAAATTGGATCATTCAGAATCACTAATTTACTACTTAACTATTTATTTACAGCAATATTTGTCTTTACTATTTCTATTTATATGATGTGTTCATGTGCTATCATTTGTTTTGTTCTTCCCTGTCTTCAACCTTGAGCAAAACTTATAAATGTTTATCAAGGTTGGCGTTACAGTCTGTGGTTCTGATATAGCTCTTAAATAATAGGCCCATAGAACATTTTGACTCCTTATATTGAGCTCATTAAGTTTAAAAAAATTTTTTTGAACTAGTTTTTGTAAGCTTTATAAAAAACTTAGTTTAACTGAGTCACTGTTACATGCTATTCATAAAACTTTTATACTTCTAGATTTAAAAGAAATTTAACATAGGTTCATTTCGCTTGTACCTTTTGATTGTACCTCACATATTAAGCCAATATAGTTTATCTAATACAAATTTCAGCAGCCTTTGTGGTATAGAGGTTAAGTAGGCTACTAACCAAAAGGTAGCTGGTTCAAACCCAGCAGATCCTCCAAGAGGAAAAATGAGGCAGTTTTACAGCTTTGAAAACCCTAAGGGGTTAGTTCTACTCTGTCCTGTAGGATCACTGGATGTTAGAATGGACTAGGAGGCAGTGGATTTGGTATGGTTTTTTAAATTGCATGTTGCTGCTTTATTAAAAACTTTTTCTACATCTGCTAAAGAAAGTGGAAGAATGTATTTTTCAATCTTGTTCAAGCTTCTCTAGATTTGTGATGGAATTGACCTCTCTTAGCAAAGGAGTGGTGGTGGCATGATTATGTGTTGGGCTGCGATATGCAAGGTCAGCTGTTTGAAGTGGTTTCAAACAACTGCTCCGCAGAAGAAAGGGCTTTTCTACTCCAGTAAAGAGTTATTGGAAGCTCACGGGGACAGTTCTACGCTGCCCATAGTGTTGCTGTGTGGCCCATAGAATTAGCTAGCTTCTACCTGGTCAGCCTTTTCTTTCCTTAGAAATATCAAATATATAAGAATTAAAGAGAAAAAAAAGTGCAGCTAGTTGGTGACTTTCTAAAAATTGAGATGTGGGTGGGGATAAAGGAGCTAAAACACCGGATAAAATCAGTATTACACTACACATGGATTTCAGTTTCATTTTATACTTATGAAGCTGGAAATCAGATAGATATGGGATGAATCCTTTTTGCTACTAAGAAGCTGGTTTTCTTAACCCTCAGTTTCACCATTTATTAAATGAGGGAAGTTATGTTTGTACGTACCCACAGGTTTGTAGGTTTAAATCCGATAGCTCACTAATTCATTACTTTCTGAAATATTTGTTCAACATATATTAAGAGACACAATTATGTAGCAATGTAAATTATGATAATATTTTTACTCTGCACCATTACCAAGAAAACTAAAATGAAGTGTGACAATTTTGCCAAAAATAATGTTCTTATTCTAAATTTTCTAATAAAATATCTGTAAACAGCTATTTTGAGATAAGCTATTGAGATAATTTCAAAGTTGATTTTTCTTATTTTTATTTAAGTGTTTTAAATTTCTTTCTAGGAGTATGCAATCAAGATGACTGGATCAGCGCAGTGAGGCCTGTTATAGAAAAAAGAATACAAAAGTAAATACTCAGCTTTCTGTATTGGCATGACATTCTTGTCTTAAGCCCATATAATACTTTTATTATTTTTAAAGCAATGCTGTTTGACTTGTTATGATGGGATTAATGTGTTGAGGAATAATATTTTTCTATTTAAGAAAATCTGAAAATTACAGTAATAGAACATCTTGTCTTTAGAGGTATTAAACAAGTAAATCTCCATTGTTAGATATTTCTATAGATATTTGTACAGATATTTTATGCGTACTTTAGCATCTTTTGTTTATTAAACTTTATTTTGTGATAATTGTGTATTCACATGTAGTTAAAAGAAGTATTGCTGAGAGATACTGTGTACATCAGTTGTTGTCAGTGGGAATATCTTGTGCACATACATTGTATAATGTTTTGGGATTGACTTTTTTCACTCAGCATAATTCTCTGGAGATTCATATGACATTCATATGAATGTCAGAGACTGACAATTCATTCTTTTATTAATGGGCGCTATTGCATGATGTGGGTATATCAGTTAGTTCCACCATTCATCTTTTGAAACATAATCTAGAGAGTGTACAGATTTTTTTGTGAACATAAGTTTTTATGTCTTTGGGATAAATGCCCAGAAGTGTTATTGCTGGATCTTACTTGTATGGTAGGCACATGTTTTTAAAGAAACAGACAGGCTTTCCAGAATAGCAGTACCATTTTACATTTCCACTAGTGATGTACAGTTGATCTTGCTTGTCTGCATTTGTGCTGGCATATTGTGGTGCCAATATTTTATTTTAACTCATTCTGATAGATGTGTACTAATGTTTTATTAATGGTTTTAATTTGCATCTCTTAAATGGCTAATGTTGAGTATCTTATATTTTTCACTCATTTTCTAATTTTTTTTTTTAACTTTTGCACTCTGAACTTCTCTACATTTTCTAGATACTAGTTCCTCATTGACAGGTTCTAACTGACTGCAAATATCCAATTGCACCCTTTGTAGTCTATGTCCTTTTCCTATCCTTTAACCATCATATTCCATCCAGGAAAAGTTCTCAATCCTGAAGAAGTTTGATTATAAGTTTTTCCCTCTATAAATTATGTTGTCTAGGATTTTTTTAAATAGCCCTATAGGCTGACAATTTTCCTGTATGTTTCTTTTTTTTGTAAGAGGTTAACAGTTTAGCATTTTATATTTTAACCTGTTATCTATTTTGAATTCATGTACAAAGTGTGATGTTGAAGACGTGTTTTTTTTAATTGTTTGTTCGTTTCGTTGTTATTGTTTTTGCTTATGCACATGTAATTACTCTGATAACATTTGTTGGAAGGATTGCTTTTCTTCCACAGAATTGCTCTTATCCTCAATAAAAAATTAGTTGGGCATATTTGTGTGTATCTATTTGTAGATTCATTATTCTGTTCTATTGATCCATGTCTACCTTTCTGCTAACACTGTATAGTCTTAATGACTTGCTCTGAGAGTTGAAATCAGATTGACTGATTCAACTTTTTTCTTTCCCTCAATATTGTTTTAGCTCATCTGTCTATATACATTTTATTTGTTTGCTTTTAACTGCTTTTATACCCATGCTTTAAAAAAACTATATGGTAAATTACACATAGGGAACATTTTTTATTTGAACATATTAGTGACATTTATTATGTCTATCATGTTAACCCTCATCACTCTCTGTTTCTATAGTTATAAACGCGTTGCCTCCCAAGAAATGAGTTCTCTTTTCCATTCTTCGTGTCCCTGAGATAACCATTAGTTGATCTCTATACCCTTGCTCATTCTAGAGTACTTTATATAAATGGGATCATTAGGGTATTTACCTTGATGGAGCCCTGGTGGTGTAATGGGTCATACATTGGGCTGCTAACCATAATGGCAGCTGTTCTAAATGATCAGCCATGTATCTATATATTTTAATATAAATGTATTTGTATTTATAACATCTTACTGAGACTTTGATAGCATTATCTTCAACCTTAATATGAATTTGTTGGAAAATTGACATCTTTGCTAAATTGAGTTTTCTAATCCAGGAACCACAGTATGCTTTTATTTACTTTGAGTTCTTTCATTTCATAGTTTTCAACATTCAAGTACATGTTTTTAAAGATTTACCTTCAATTTTTTGAGGGTTACAAATGCTATTAAATTTTCAATTTTGGTTTTGTTTATGGCAAATGTATAGAAATACAATTTCTTTATCTTGTATCCCTTCAGCCTTGCTGATTTTCTCTACCAGCTTTAGGAGTATTTTTATAGATCCTTTGACATTTTCTATATAGTTAAATATGTTATTTGAAATGGGCAGTTTTGAATTTACATCTCTCAGTTTTATCATTTTTTGCTTCACATATGATGCTGCTTTGTTATTTGATGCTTATGTATTTAGGATGGGTATGTCTTGGAGGTGGAATGATCTTTTTAACATTGTGTAATGTCTCTGTCTCTAGAAATATTTTCTGCTATAAATTTTAATTTGCCTAATATCTGATATTCCTGCCTCCTTTTATTTACTGTATACCTGATACATCTTTTTACATCTTTTCAAACTACAAATATAATATTTGAAGTGAGTTTTGAATAGGTAAAATTTGAGGAGTCTTTAAAAAGTTTATTGAAAAATTTAATTGAGAGATAATAGAAATTTTCCATGAACTTTTTTAAAGCTCCTACATGTTTTTAAACTCACTATTAATACATCATTTTGGAATATTTAGGCCATTCACATTCATATTTTTATATATGCTTATACATGGTATAGGAAACTACCTGTAAAATTAAATATATGTTCCTCTATAGCAGCAGTTTTCAACCTGTGGGTTGCGACTCCTTTGGGGGTCGAATGACTCTTTCACAGGTATCGCCCAATTCATAACAGTAGCAAAGTTACAGTTATGAAGTAGTAACAAAAATAATTTTATGGTTGGGGGTCACCACGCCATGAGGAACTGTATTAAAGGGTTGCAGTATTAGGAAGGTTGAGAACCACTGTTCTATAATAATTATTTCTGTTCTCTACTAATTATTTCTGTGTTATAGCTTAAGTCTTTTATTTCATATATTTCCCCATTTTCTCTGATATTTGTTTCTCTGTTTTTCCTTCATGTCTTCTTGTGGGTTACCTGAACATTTTTTAGAATTTTCTTTTCTTTTAATATTTTTTAGTATATTTCTTGTATACCCCTCCTTTTTACAATGCATTTCTTTAATAGAATTTTAGTATCTTTAAAAATTTCATCACAGTATACTACTTACAACATTTTAAAAATTTGACTGAAACTTTATTTGCATTTAAGACCTGAGATGTAGTTAATTAATGTGGTCCTTCTAGCTGAAATCCCGTATGTAATATGTTTTAAATGGAGCCACTGTGCCAGTGGTTATAACCCCATTTTGGAGGAGCGTCTCTGTTAGGCTGAAGAACAGGAGTAAGGTGGGATGTATTCTTAGTTCTTACTTTATTAGAGGGTGTGAAGCAAGACACCATCCTGTTTCCTTTGTGGTCTGGTCTCCTGAAAAACAAACAACACGCTTTCATCATACCCATTTCTTTGTGTATGAGACATCTTTGCAGCAGGAAGAGAGAATTCCTGGGACTGCCAAGGAAGAAAAGCCCCCAATGGAGCCCATTTAAAGTATCTGTGTGAAGTGGTGGAGGCTAAGTCTAGAGACACCAGCGGCTGAGGCAAGGAGACCATGAGACAGAACGGAAGAGTATTGCTGAGACTGTGAGACTTTGAGGCAAAGCAGTGGGCTGGCTTATGGGAACAGAGGCCAAGGGATCCCCTGGCTGAGAGGCCAAGGACTAAGACTTGGCTGTTGACTGAGGAGAGAGGTTCTGGACCATTGACTATATCCTTAATGTTTTCTGATCCTCAGATGTCATGATCTGTTAACTTCCCTAATAAACCCCCTTAATTGTGATTATTGTATGTGAGTTCTGTGTGGTCATTGCATCAGGCTATCAAACCCAAAGGAAGTTGAGTACTGTGGGAGGAAGGGTTGGTGCCAGAACAAGAAGGATGGAGGGTTGAGGTATATTTGACTTCTGCCTCCTGGCAATCGGGAAGTCAAAGGAGGCCAGACATGGCCTCTACTATTTTAGCAGGACCACATCAGATCATATTATGCTTCATTGCTTCAACTATTAAACATAATTCAAGGGAAAAAGGAAAACATTTTTTACTATATTTTTACTCTTTTTTTTCCCCCCTTCCTGATATTCTGGAAGTCTTTCTTTTATTATTTCCTTTTGTTTAGACAACTTCCATTAGCTGTTCTTTTAGAGTAGGCTTTTTGTGACAGATTTCCTTTATTTGATACTATCTCAATCTTCTCTTCACTTTTGAAGGATATTGACACTAGGTATAGAATTCTAGTCTTCTTTCAGCATTTGACAATATTGTACCACTTCCTGCGTCCATGTTTTTGATGAGAAACAGATTGTCATTCAAAAAATTCCTGTTAAGGAATGCTTTTGTTTCTCTTGTTGCATTCAAGATTTCTTGTCTTCCCTTTTCAGAAGTTTATGACTCATCTTAGATTTCCTTAGTTTTATCCTCTTTTGGAGTTTGCTCATTTCTTGAATCTGGACATTTAAGTTTTTAAATTTTGGGAGTTTTAGCTATTATTTGAGTACCCCTTCAATCTCCCCAGTTTTCTCCTCTTGTCCCAGGGCTGTGAGGATGTGAACCTTGGAGCTTCCGTTTTATTCCCTCGACATCCCTGCCGCTCCGTTCTCCCTGCCGCTCCTCAAGCTCATGTCACTGCTCAGGTTGGAGCGGCTGCTCTTCTAGCCCATTGCTTCTTTTCCCTTTCCTTCACTCTGCTGTCGAATCCATCCATTAATTTTCTTATTTTGTTTATTGTACATGAGGAAACTTTAAAAAGTTTATGGAAAGTTCCATTATCTTTTAATGTTACTTTTCTATGCATTTTTTGAAGTCCCTTAGCATTTCACTTTTTAAATTTCCATTTAGCTTTTCTGTATATCCTCTATTTCTTTCCAAAACTCTCTATTTTAAAAATGTGTTTCAAATGTATTGATTGATTGTTGAAGCATTTTTGATGGCTGTCTTAAAATTTTTGTCATAATTCTCTGATCTCAATTTTAGCATATATTGTCACTTTCATTCAAATTGAGGTTTTCATTGTTTTTAGTATGATAAGTGACTATTGATTGACACTTAGACATTTTGGATATTTATTTTAAGACTTTGGTTCTTAACTAAAATATTTGTTTTATCTGATTTCTACTTCTCCAACAGTGGAAATAGGAGGTTGCCACCGTATTACTGCTAGGTGAGAATGTAGTTTAGGATCCATTGTTGGCTACATTGATTCTGGACAGGGGGAAGGGTTCTTTGTTATTGGAATGTAGGAAGGGCTTTGTTGCTGTTATGTGTGGAAGTTCTGGTTTCCCAGTAGATCTCCATTGGTATCACTGATCCAAGATGTGGTTTTTGATGGTCTCATATGCACCTGAAAGTTAGACAATAAAGAAGACTGAAGAGGAATTGTTGCATTTGAATTAGAGTGTTAGAAAAGAAAAATGTACTGTGGACAGAATGAAGAACGAACAATTATGTCTAGGAAGCCCCTTGGAAGCGAGAGTGGTGATTTTTCATCTCACATAATTTGGATGCAGTATTAGGTCAGGGGGGCAGGTCTCTGGAGAAGCACATAGCATTTGTAGAGTGGAGGATCAATGTAAAAGAAAAGCCCCCAATGAAATGTACTGACACACGAGCTGCAATAATGGACAGTAAAAAACAGGACAACAAATGTGAGGATGGTGCAGGACAGTGTTTTCGTTTTGTTGCAAATAGTGTCACTATGAGTCAGAACAAACTAAGGGGCACTTGCCAGTCCCAACAATATGTAATGTCTAGGGTTTTTAATTGACCTTAGTGGAAAGAATATGGAAATATGATGGGCTATCCAAAAAAACAACAAAAAAAACCCAGTTTTTTCCCCCAACAGTATGTATTTAATTTTTTTTACAAAACAACTTTATCACTTTCAAAGTACTCTCCAGTACATTTAATACATTAGGTGAAATCTACGATTCCATTTTTGGAAACATTTTTCAAACTCATTTGTTTGGATGGCTGTTTGGATCTCTCGTTTTTTTCTTCATCTCTTCTTTGTTGTCATATCGCTGTCCTTTCATGCTCCACTTTATTTGTGGAAATAAGAAGTCTCAAGGAGTGAGGCCAGGTGTGTGGGGCAAGAGAAGCATGCTGTTTTTTGCCAAAAACAGGCACACTGAGATGGCGGCATGAGCAGGTGCATTGTTGTGACAAAACCGGTCCCCACGTCTGCCACGTCTGTCACATACTATTAAAATGTAAGTTTTTCAGAATCTCTAAATTGAAAGCTTGATTTTTAATGGTCTGACCTGGTGGCATGAACTCCAAGGCACTACGGGTCAACATTTCCACCTGTGCAGTATGTTGACGGATGTCCAGAATGAGGTTTGCCAGCAATAGATATTTTACCTTTTTTGAAACGAGAAAAACACTTGTACACTGAGTTTTTCTGCATAGCACTGTCCTGGTAATCTGTGTTCAACATCACAACAGTCTCTGTGGCATTTTTCCCGAGCAGGAAACAACATTTCATAGGTGCATGCTGTTCTCTTAAATCAGCCATCACAAAAACACACTAAGGTTCGTGTGAAACTGCTTTCACAAGCTTACTGTGACCAGAGAGACCCTTACCAGGCAAGGCCACTGGGTGCACTAACTCAGAGTGAGTTGCTTGAAGCTCGCTGGGAAAAATGGGAAAAATGCATACTAAGTAAGCTCTACCCAGCAGAGCTTTTTTCTGTTTTCTTTTTGGGTTCCCCCCATAGAAGTTCTATAAGTAAACTTGTTAAAACATTTTTACATAGTTCATAACTTTATAGTTACCATGGGCCATATTCTTCCAGTGAATTAAACTATGTAGAAGAAACTCTTATTAAAGGTGAACTAATACCAGAAATGGCTTGTATTTTTTATGTATTTCCCCCTTGATTAAGTAGCATATACATATTATTATGGGTAACTTTTACAGTGGCAGTCCCTACTATAAACAGAGTAGTGAAAATCAGGTAGTGATTCAAATTTTTACAACAGTTTATAATCTTACATAATAAAAAGCCATATTAGTAAAAATCCTGTTAGGAAAAGTAATATAATAAGGAACATAATTTTTTCCCATCAAGTTGCCATTATAATTAGCCCAACAAATATGGGTTTTTTGTTTCATTATATTTTCCAAGCTCTTAGTGAATGATACTATGCTTCTTATTAACATAGGAAAACTGGTGAAAATATTTGTTATTTCTCATTAAAAAAAATAGCAAGGAAAATTTAGTTATACTCTAATACGAAGTGTTTTAAAGTGCCTATTTAAAAATTTTAAAAATAATTTTATTGGGAGGGTTTGCAGATATCATAACAATCCATAATTCGATCATATTGTATTGTACAAATGCTACCATAATCAGTTTCAAAATTTTTTCTTCTTGAACTCCTTGATATCAGCTCCCCCTTTCCCTTCCCTTTTCTACCCAATCCCCCAGAACCCTTATTATTTTTTCCCCTATAATAGTTGTTTTTGGCCAGATCTTACATGATCCAATATATCCATTCTCATGCAATTCTGTTGTTCAATCCCATCTAATGGGTTTATACAGTGTCAATGCTATCAGCTCTGTTTACCCCCTCTCCTCCCTCTTCCCTTACCCTGCAGGGACCCATTACTCCATTACTCCTGTTACTGTTTCTGAAGGGTTGTCTATCTTGGCTTTCATGTATGGAGAGATCTTAAATATACAAATGAACATATGCAAATCTAACATGATTGATGAGTTAAACAAAAATCATAATAGTAAGGGGAGAAAATATTAAAGAACTAGAGGATAGTTATGTGGTTCATCAGTGCTGTACTGCACCCTGGATTTTTTATCCCTTCTGAGAGGGACTGTCTAATTATCTTGCTGGTGAGTTTTGGGCCTCCACTACATCCACGCCCCTTCACATTGATTTGGTTGCTTGTTTTTGAACTTCGGATACCTCTTCCTGTTGACACCTCATGAACACACAGGACGGTGTGCTTCTTCCATGTAGGCTTTGTTGCTTCCCTGCTAGATGGCTGCTTGTTTAACTTCAAGCTTTTAAGACCCCAGATGCTATATCTTTTAATAGCCAAAAGGGCCGATTTTTATTGTTGGCCAATTGATAAATTTTTTTGCTTACCTCAGAGTATTACAACTTAATTCTTATATACTTCTTCACTACATTGTTAACTTTCAAATAACTTTTGTTTTTTAGGTACAGTGAAGGTGAAATTAGATTTAACTTAATGGCCATTGTGTCTGACAGAAAAATGATATATGAGCAGAAGATTGCAGAGTTACAAAGACAACTCGCTGAGGTTTGTGATCATGTTTTTAACTATAAAGTTTTAGCTTAGTTATTCTCTCCGAAAAAGTTTGCCTTTTTTTGTTTTAAGTAGCGATTTAGTCATGTATCCCGAATAGTAATATATAGACTGTTGAATTTGGCTGGATACATTTAGTTTCTGGTTTTGCCACTTAGTGGATATATAAATATGTATATACAGTATTTCACTATGCCTCAATTTATTCATGTAAAATGGAAATAATAATGTTTACGTAAAAAGTTGTGTGGTAATATATTTAAATGACTTTAAATAGTGACTGACATATAGTATGTTAGCAATTAATAAATATGGTATTAACTATGACTTCATTCTACAGTAAAGCAAGTTAGGATCTTTTTAAAATAAATTATTGCTTATAGTTAGATTCAAATGTAATTATGTATTAGTCTTTATGATTGATTATCTCCCTCTAGTAAATATTAGAGAAAAAGATTAATAATAGAAAATCTATAAACTTTTGATTACATTTTCTTAAGAGTGTATTTAAGCAAGTTTATTTTCTAATGAACAGAAGAATTATAGAAATATAGTAGATTCACAGTGTAGATTTTTTATCTATTGTAGAAAATAGAAATATTGAAGTAAATAGTGCTTTCATTCTTTAATATTGATGGCATTAGGCTGATATTCTCATTAATATTAGGAGTATAGGTATAAAAAGTCATAGTGTTTATCATTTTAAAATATCCCTGACTTAAGCCACAATCATTAGGGTGTGCTGTGTATGTCTTTCTCTCTAAGGAGGAACCCATGGATACAGATCAGGGTACCAATATGTTAACTGCTATCCAGTCAGAGGTTGCCAAAAATCAGATGCTTATTGAAGAAGAAGTCCAAAAATTAAAAAGATATAAGGTATGTTTGAAGAAAATGCATGTTTAATGTTTGATTGTTTTTCTCCTTTTATTTACTGTTTCAGAATAGGGAGTTGGATTTCTGGTACTCTACAAAGGCAACAGGTGGATTTCTTTTAATTTTAGTTTTTTTTTCAATTTAAGTATAAGCAGTCACCGATTAAAGAGTTCCATTTCTAAGTCTCCTGCTAAATTTACCGTATATACTCGAGTATAAGCCAACCTGAATATCAGCCAAGGCATCTAATTTTACCACAGAACTGCTTTAAAAATGTGCTGCAAAACTTGGCTTATACTCGAATATGTATGATAATTTGAATGTTAAGTCTAAACAGTTAGATAAAGTCGTTTCTAACATCACTTATTCTAATGCTTATCTTAGTATATATAGTAGCTTAAGTATATATACATAGTATAAAATATATATAATTTAGTATATATAGTATACTTAGTATTTAGTAAAGTATATGAGGGGGTACCCCCTCCAAAATGGATATTTTTATTTACAACTATGTATTTAAATTTTTTATAAGACAACTATCACCTTCAAAGTACTTGCCATTACATTAAAACCTTTGTCAAATCTGCAATTCCTTTTTTGAAAATGTTTTTCGAACTCATCTGTTTGGATAGCTGACAGCACCTCCATTGTTTTTTCCTTCACCTCTTCTATGTCATCAAATCACTGTCCTTTCTTGCCCCTCTTCATTTGCAAAAACAAAAAGAAGTCTCATGGAGTAAGGTCAGGTGAATGTGGTGCATGGGGCAAGAGGGGCGTGCTGTGTTTGCCAAAAACTGGCGCACTGAGATGGCAGTGTGAGCAAGTGCATTGTTGTGGTGGCAAAAACAGTCCCCCGTCTGTCACAAATCCAACCATTTTTGTTGCACACTGTTAACGCAATCTTTACAGAACCTCTAAATAGAGAGCTTGCTTATCAATCTGACCTGGTGGAACAAACCCGGAATGCACTATTCCTCTCATTTTAAAAAACAGAGGAGCATGATCTTGATGTTTGATTTCACTTGATGAGGTGACAGTGTCGTCTTCCACTGACTTGATTGATGTTTGCTTTTGGGGTTATAAGAAGAGTATGATATCTTGTCACCATTAATAATCTTGGGAAAAAATTCTGGGTCGTTTTGGATCTGTTCTTTCAAAGCACAGCGTGTTTCCACTTGACGCTATTTTTCCTGGTCAGTCAGAACCTGAGGCACAAATTTCGCAGCAACCATTCTTATTCCCAAATCTTTTGTTAAAATTTGCTGAATTAAGCTCCCAAGATTATCAGGATAACTTCAAGCACAAGTGCACAAATATTGTCGACATTTTCGTCCATTCGGGACGTTGATGGAAGTCCAGAACGAGGTTTGTCATCAACGGACATTTCTCCTTTTTTGATATGAGAAAGCTACTCATGCACTTGTGTTTTTCCCCTAGTGCTGTTCTTGTGTGTTCAACATCACAACAGTTTTTGCAGCATTTTCCCTTAGCAGGAAACGAGATTTCACAGCTGCATACTGTTCTCTTAAATTGGCAATCACAAAAAACGAGGTTTTAGCGAAGCTGCTTTTATGAAAAATTCACTGTGACCAGAGAGAAACTTCTCAGGTGATGCCACTGGGTGCACTAACTCAGAGTGAGTTGCTTGATGCTCACCAGCGGGAAAATGCATACTATGCAAGCTCCACTCGGCGGAGTTTTTAAAAAAAAATTTTTAGGGGGTACCCCGTCATATACTGTAATATACTTAGAATATCATGTAGTATATAGTATACCTTTCTATTAATTTAATTAAATAGTGAAACCTCTTTACCATAATAGTACAGTGAAAATACTAATCTTTTGATATGTATCACAAAGTAGCATCCATTTGTTATTATGAAATAATCTTTGTATGTTTTATGAACTTTTAATATAATTTAAAATTTTCCTTCTGTGGCTATTGGGACCTCTTCAAATTATCTTCAAATTTTTCTGGCATGACCCCAAATATGATGAGCTGTTTTTGGCTCATTTGTACATTTTCTGCTTCAGAGTTGGAACCAGTCGTAAAATTAGAGATCATTATCTGGGTGCTGTTGGGCCTCTGGTGGTGCAGTTAAGCATCAGGATGCTTACTGCAAGGTCAGTGGTTCAAACTCACCAGTTGCTTAAAAGGAGAAGGATTTGCAGGATTTGTAGCCTTGGATTTGCAGCAATTCTGTTCTGTTCTCGAGGGTCTCTGTGAGTGGATTTGATCCAGATGGCAGTGGGTTTTTCTGGATAATCAATGTTTAGTGCTGCTCATTGATAATTGTTAGGTACCCTTTTTCTGAATGGAGAAATTCATTTTTTGGTATGTTTTAAAAAGAATGAAATGAGAATTCTTATTATTTTCAGTTCAAATTTAGGACTAACAGACTTTATAATAGAAGGAATTTAAGTATTTGTGATTTTTCATTTTGGTTGCAAACAACATTAATATATCTTATTTGCTTTATGCTATATATACATAGCATATACGTATGTGCATATATATGTATGAATTATGTGTGTGTTCAGAATTACAATAACTAGCATACCAATAAGAGAATGGTTGCAGGAAATTATTTTCTTATTCTTTTTCCCTTAGAATATATATTCCACTTTGGGTATACAATCAATCAAATGACTAAGCTTTTAATTTATTTTAAAATTTTTCTGCATTTGATTATATCAGCAAAATAATACCCAGAATGGTTCATTTGTTTTACTTTGCTTTCAAATGGTATAGGGTTTATATTTCCATTTTTTTATGTCAATAAAAATTTAAAATTACCTTAAAAATGTGGCTCTCTTTCCCTCACAGTCTGTCTGGCAAGTTGTTTTGCAGGACAAATGAATAGACTCGAGAGAACTTTGAATTTTGTAAGACTGTTTGTATCTACTTTTGTATGATGCGGTATTTATGTCATTTGCTGTGTGTCACATTTGTAAAAGTAGCTGATTTGGCGGCAAGGCTTGGTTTCCTCTTTCCCGTGCACTGCAGTGCCACCATTGTGCACTACCTCGTGGTTGATAGTAAACAGTTGTTAAATAAAATAAGTGGGTCTGCGACTAAAGAACATTTTCAGGTGCTATGGTAGGGGCAAGCTGGTTCCAGGCAGAGGGAAAGGGAAAGCCAAGTTTATGGAGACAGGAAATTAATAGATGAATGTTTGAATGTTATGGTTCATTTCCCATGTTATATAAAGAATAACTACCCACCATTTATATATTCCTATGCAGGCTTATTATGTAAGCAGTTTTTAATACAGAGGACTTTAAAAATTCATGGAAAATATATTATCTTTTAATTCCACTTTCCACAAACTTTTCAAAGCCTACTTCAATCTTCCAAAAGTAAAACACAGTTTGGTAATCCTTTTTTCAAAAAAGATAAAACTGACTCTTACATTGATTAGCAATAAACGTGTTTTAATAATTTACTTAATCCATTAATTAACTGAAAGAACCAGCAAGATGTCACAACCAGTTCAAAGGAGACATCAACGAAATACAGATGTATGTAGAAGGTGTATTGAAATGAATTTATAAATAGATAGAAGCTTTTTCTTTGATGGAAGAAAAATGCAGTCAATTAAACCTCCACCACACAGGATATATTTGCATGTCTATTGACCGACAAGAATTATTTAGCAATATTCTGCATGTCCTTAGACAAGAATTACTTTCCATTGCTCTCACTTCTCTCTAAATTGGCGTTGAGAATAGGGCTCAATGGCAGTGACAGACTGAACTCACGTCATTCGAATGGTGTGCTCCAGATCCGTAATTTCCTCTGCAGCACGTTGCTCCTATTCTGTCTGTCTTTGATGAAAAGTAATCTGAAAGAAAGACTAGTCACGGTCATAAGATAAAGCTCATCTTATTAGGCTTGTCTTGATTATTTGCATAAGTGCAGCAAGAATATTAATTGTATCTTATGGTCTGTCTTATATTTTATAAGTTAAGTACTTAGAAGTAATCTTAGAATGTACTTTTAAAAACTTCTGTTTGCTAAGCAGAGCTCCAAGAAAGAGAAATCCAAGAAACTCCATAGTTCTTTATCTATCTGTTTGTTACGGAAACAGAATCTTCCTTTTCGTAACATTATTCTAATTCCATTACTATCTTGAATTATATACAAAAAAAATATGAATTTCAAAACATTTGCAGAAATACAAATCTAGCCTGGTTTGATGTTTGTTTTATTTTTAGATCGAAAATATCAGAAGGAAGCACAATTATCTGCCTTTCATTATGGAATTGTTAAAGACGTTAGCTGAACACCAGCAGTTAATACCACTAGTAGAAAAGGTATGTATTTTATTGGTGAATACTTAGGTTAAGATTTTCCAAAACAAGAAATGCTTTTTTTGGATGGGTAAAAGTAAAATTCTCTTAAGGTTATTTGCTTTTGATTATTGTTTTATACTCTAGTTTTGAATTAGTCCAGTCTGAATATAGTTCAGTAAAAATTGTCCCACTGCTTTGAGAATCTGTATTGTGAAAGAAGTGTGTTGTGGTCCGGTGGTTAAGCACTTTGCTTCTAAGCCGAGGTCTGCAGTTCTGACCATTCAAGGGCTCCTCCGGAGAGAACGCTGGCAGTCGGCTTCTGTAGAGAGTCACTGCCCTGCAAACCCTACGAGACGGTTCTTCTTAGCCCTGTCGAGTACCTATGAGTTACACTGACTGCATGGCAAAGGGCGTGGTTTTGGTTATTTTCAAATAAAGTGTTAAATACTATTCGCTCTTTAAATTGGAAGCAAATTTTGTTTTTCCTTTAATAATTCAGCAAAGGTATGACTAGAAATAATAAAATCTAGAATGAGAATGGACATTGAGGGGGATAAAAAGAAAATTTAAAAGGGAAAAAAATCCATACCCAGGAGTGACAAATTGAATTTCTTCCTGATTTAGTGTCCTTTCCATGGAAAGAAAAGTCTGATTTTTAAGATTTTTTTTTTCTTTAACAGATGGTTCTTTAGATTTCTTAACTAGATGAAATATAGTTAAGGTGTTTTAAAGTTTAAAATATAAATCAGTGTTTCTGTAAGTGACCATCCCTGGATACTCTTTAAAATAAAATACATGTTGCCTGACCCCTCCCCAGAGATTCTGATAATAGGGATGATGAATCTTTAATAAATTCCCCAACTGAGTCTAATGCAGCTGGTTTGTGTACCACATTTTGAGAAACACTTTGAGAAGATACTACATTACTTTGATAAAAGACCAAAATACATGGTAGGTATATTTTTCTTATTAACTTTAAAGTTTATTAAGCAAAAATGCCTTTCAACCCAGCTGTTTCATATTATCATATATTATAAATAATTGATAGATGCTAATGAGATTGTTGTATTTATCTTATTAGCCAGATCTTATATGGTAGATGTGTTTATTTTTAGCAATAAATGTAAAAATAATTTCATTAGACTACTGTTTTCTTTGCCACATTGTTTTCCTATTCTTATATCTCAGGATATTAAACTATAGGAAGTCCAAGATGCAAAATTAATTTTTTTAAAGTTAGGTGGATACGTATTTGTCCTGTGGTTCTTGAAATGCATTGTTAGCAGAGTATCTAGACATCGTGTTCTTAGTATAAAACACTGTGGAATATTTATTGAAAATATTGCATATGAGATAGTAATATAGAATATTGTGCCAAATCATATGACATTTCATATGATTTTAATTATAAATAAATGTTAGGCAAACAGACAAATGTTAGAGAAATTATAAATGTAAAACTTTTGCTTTAAAATTGATCTGCGAAGATAATTTTTTTTTTCCTTTAGGAAGATAAATACTCATTTCAATTAGACCCTCAGATTTTTGTGAGAATATAAAGCAACAGCTTTGCAGTGTTTTTGCATTAGAATCTTAGTTCCTTGGTTCACATGGTTTGGACACTAGGTGGTAGTATATGAATGCCTAATAGTAGTGGAACACCAATTTGATTTGCTCTTTTTTGCATTTGTTTTATTGAGAAAGCGTAGGTGGTGATCTTTGAGCTTTTGCCTAGTGTCATTTCAATGAGTAATACTACATACATAATATTAAGATACATTTATTTCTTGTGTATATGCACTATCTGTTTCCTGGGAGCGGGAAACCAAGGCAGAACCTTTTGTGCACACACATCAAATGATTTCTCATCCAAGTTAGTAACCAGTTTGCTCTCAAGTGGACTCAAAGTCATGTTGCCCCTATGTGTGTCAGAGTGCACTGACCCGTAGGGTTTTACAGAAGTAGGACATCTCAGCTTTTCTCCTGAGTTACCTTTGGGTAGACTCAAACTCCTAACCCTTTGGTGAGCTGGTGTGCTAACTTTTTTACACCACACAAGGAACGTAAATAGCTTTGTGTATTGCTTTAGTTGCCGATGAGTCAATTCTGACTCGTGGTAACTCTACGTATCTAGAGTAGAACTGTTTCTTTGGGCTTTCAGGATTAAGATTTTTTTATAAGCAGGTTGCCAGGCCTTAATTCCAAGGAATCTCTTGGTGGGCTTTAATGCCATCCTTTAGGTTACTAAAAGGAGTCCATGTAATAATTCTAACAGAAAATTCAGAATTGGATTATTCGATTGGAATCCTTTCTAATTTAAAGGGCTAGTAGGATAAGGGAACAAAGAGCACAAGAGGTAGAAGGAGCCAAACCTTCAAGGTGCTTAGTGCCAGGCCTGTCCAGGATCAGACATCTGAGCAATTGAAGCAGTTGCCTACAGCCTGTATTAACAAAAACTATTTGAACCATAGAAACCTTTTCATTTTATATAAAACGAAAGGCGAAGACTTTGGTTCTCCCAAGTGCATACAGGCTTATAGGTCAAAGTAGATCTCTTATCTTTTTTGGTTTTGTTATATGGGGAGTCACTAGTGAGTTAATTAACTTATGAAAAAACTTTAGGAGATAACTTTAAAACGTAGTTACAAAACTTCATGTACCATATACCAAATATGTTTTGTAAAATATAAAGTAAAATCAACTAGATTTCCATTTATCAATTTTAAATTTACACATATATACACATATATAAGTATATATTTAAACTCGGCCTTCATTTGTATTTTGGAACTATTATCTTATCTCAAATTTTTAACAACCACCAATATTGCTAGCTACTGTTAAGTCGACCACTGATGAAAAACAAATACTCCCCAGTCTTGAACCATTGGCTGAGGTTTAGATTGTAGTGACCCATCGAGTTTTTATTTGCTGATGTTTCAGAAGTCGTTCACTAGGCCTTTGTTCTTAGTCTATCTTAGTTGGGGAGCCTGTTCATCATCAGACGCTAATATAAAATCATAGATTCTTCTGCATTGGGAGATCCACAGCAGTTTCACAATACTACTGGATTTTATCTATATCTTATGAAAGCATTATAATGTAATTGTTAATAAGTAATTAACTTTTAGAAGTTAATTTTCTATCCTTTAATGGGAATAAGTAAGAAGGATAAATTACTCATAATACTATGTACCTGAATATTTATGATTATAGAATTATTTGGATTTGAGCCAGTAATCTTTAGTTTCTCATTGGCATGCTATTGAGAAGGAAAATACTAATTAGGAATTTAGCATTGTTAATTTTAAAACTAAGAAAGACAGGACAAAACAAAACAAAAAATCTTACATATGTTACTTAAAACAAAACAAAATATCTTACATGTGTTACTTATGCAACTTTTTAGGCAAGTTATTTACTTCTATTTATTCTATTTCGCTTTTTATTTGTAAATTGAAAGTCATGTATTTCATATTCTTGAGGAATAAATGAAATAGTGTTTATAAAATACACTATGTGTTCAATTAATGGTTACAATTATTATTATTTTTTTGCAATTATTTTTAACTTAAAAATGTATCCCTTAAATTTGGCCTGTATTATACAGATTATTAAATGTGTGGATTCTCTGTACATTTTATGTCTTTGAATATTTAATTATATTTTCAAGTTTACATCAGAAACCAGGAATTAATTCTCATTTACAATTACTAAGCATTCTGTCACATGTATCTAGACAATAGTAAGAAAATAAAAACATACTGTAACTACAATTATGTCTGAAGCAAAATTATGATTTTGTTATTTAAAAACAAAGGAGTTCTTCGCTTAGCTTTCATAAGTCAGAAATTATAGGCAGCAAATTAAAAATTTTGCTTTCAGGCAATTGTATTATTTTGTTTTATGACAAATATAACATGTTTGCTTTTATTTATTAACTTTAAAGCACAACACTCAGTTTTATCAAACTATTGTGGTGATTATACCTAATGTATTATAAAAAGGGATTATGCGTATTCTCATTGTTGAAGGACATTTTATTATTGTACAATAGCAAGAATCTAACTTCCTGGTTTATCTTTGATTCATGTGGCACAATGGAAAGAATATTGTATTCTAGTGCTTGAAATTCTTGCTTCTCAAGTGTGGTCCAAGGATTAGCAGAATCGAATCACCTGGGAATATGGTAGAAATTCAGATTCCAATGCATTTTACTAAAGCAATCTGCCTTTGAACAGTACTCCCAGATTAGTGTTGTGTCCTTTGAGAAGCATGAATGTAGAACATGTCACTTTTTGTGTTACTTGTTTTTTGTATAGTTTATTGTTAGTATTTTAATTTTCTAGGGCAGCTGCAACAGAAGTGCCAAAGTGAATGGCTACCAAAAATAGAAACACATTCCCTGGCCATTTACGAGTCAGGGTACTAGCAGTAGGGGAAATCTTTCTCTTTTAGACAACGCTGGGTGAAGGTCCTTGTCTCTTGATATCTGTGGAGCCATTGTTCCTGGATATTGCCTTGGTATTTTGACATTACACTTTCTCTGGGATCAAGTACTTCTAGCGAGCAACCCCAGGACCAGATGCCTTGCTTCACTCTTGGTTCTTCCTGGTGGTATTAGGCCCTTTAACTCTACTTGCAAGAGATTGACTCAAGGTCTACCCTAATCTTGTAGATTGTATCCTGCTTCACTCACAAAACCTAACCCAGGGGTCCTCAAACTTTTTAAATGGGGGTCCAGTTCACTGTCCCTCAGACCCGTTGGAGGGCCGGACTATAGTTAAAAAAAATACTATGAACAAATTCCTATGCACATTGCACATATCTTATTTTGAAGTAAAAAAACAAACGGGGCAAAAACACCCGGCGGGCCAGATAAATATCCTCAGTGGGACACGTGTGGCCCACGGGCCATAGTTTGAGGACGCCTGACCCAACCTAATGCTCTTGAACATAGCCCCATCCTGCCTTATTAATCACAAGCAGAAACTAGGGTTTACAGCACATAGGGGAATACATCAGTTCACAAAAGATAGGATGACCACACAGTACTGGAATCATGGCTTAAACAAGTTGACATATAACTTGAGGGAGAGGATTCAAACTCTGGCAGTAATCTGTACTATGTACAGTTGCAGCACATGACTTGCTAATCTTATTTTCAAATACTCACTTGCAGATCTTAAAATATCAGATTTATGAATTTAGAAGATACTGATAAAAGTTTCATTAATGAAGAAACATTTTTTTTAATGGTTTTCGATGTAGAACCAACTTTAAATGGAGACATCTGAAAAGAAGATGCTAATCAAAATTACAATGAGATACCACTTCATTCCTATTGGAATGACAGTGATTTTTTTTTAAAAAGGGCAAATGACCAGTGTTGGACAGGTGGTAGGAAACCTCTACAACATGGAATATTACTATGAGAAACAGTTTGGCAGTTTCTCAAAAAGTTAAATCTGAAGTTGCAATATGGCCCAGCAGTCACCATCCCAGGAGGAGTGAATGCAGAAACACAAATGGAAGCCCGTGTACTATTGTTCATTGAACTGCTTTTCACACTCGCTTTTTTCACAACCCAAATGTCCATCAGCTTATAAACAGATAAGCAAAATGTGATATGTACATGCAATGGAATACTACTTAGCCATAAAGAGAAATGAATTCTTGATACATGCTACTACATGGGTAAACCTAGGGAACATCATGCTGAATGAGTCCATCACAAAAGGACACAAATGAAATAAGCAAATATATAGAAGCCAAAGATTACTAACAGTTATCAGGGGTGGGAGAGAAGCGGAAAAGGGGAGTTTTTTTTTTTTTAGGAGACCTGGAATGATATGGGAAAAGATAATGAGAATGGTTGTACAAACTGGATGGAAAAAAAGATCAGTGTACACATAGCAATTGAGATTGTTATGTGTATAGTCACCACAAAAATTATAATGTATATGAACAGGAGTTTTATTGACACAAAATGATGCTTAATCATTGTTATATTAAAAGTGTTAAACTCAGTGATAATTCCAATATGCAGAAACTTAAATAGTATTTTTCTTAAACTTTACTTGGATGAGAAATGGACAATTGCATGTAAATATATTTTTGAATACTTATGAATGAATAAGACTATAGAATAAGTAATTATATTTTTAAGAATATAGTTATAACACATTTTAACTTAGGCAAAAAAGAACTGCAATCTAAGCATAATTCTTTTTAAGGGTAAAGTCTAACAAGAATACTGTATTTTTATACATTATTATATTATATTACACAGTAAGAGGCACAAATAACATATACCTTATATGTTTTTTTTTAATAAGCTGTGGAACCCCTTTCATGTTAGTGTCCTGTACATGTTACATGCCTGTGGGTATTATTTATGTGTGTTACATGTAAAAATATAGTAGTTTGTTGAAACATTCAAGTTATAAGATGAAATGTTCCAGCTATCATATACACAATATAATCAAAGTTTTGCATCTTGGAAAATGCCTTCTTGGACCGGTTTTTACCTTAGTAGCATGTAAACAGACTGATACAATTTTGTATCTTTAATTTCTAGGCAAAAGAAAAACAGAATGCAAAGAAAGCTCAGGAAACCAAATGAAGAAGATACTTTGTGATGTGTACATATTTCTGATTCTGCAATTACTTTCGTGAAAACTTTTACAAACTTTGAGCAACATTCTACTTGGCCCAATGCACGTTTGACAAAAACAGCAGTCTTGTCTCAAATGCATGTATTCATGAACATTTTCCTACCTGCATCATGTGCATGCAGTGCATATTAAATAAAAGTGATATAAAGATTGCTTGCCCAAATCCCATTTTTTTATATTGTATCCGAAATTCCTCTGGAGTGTCTGGATCTATAAATATTGTAATGAACCCAGAAGAGGCACAAATGATATTCTCTACCTGTAATTGTTCTGATTAATCTTTCAATCCTTTAGCTCACTTAAATTTTGAAAATGTGTAACTATCAATTATTACTTAAACTGGTCATCTTGTTTTTTTCATTAATTGGAGAAAAATATCTTTGATATGTAAATGTTATGAGGATTTTGACTGATTTGTGCTCCAATTACCAATTATTTGAAAAAGTATTTTAAAACAGCTCATTTGAAATGGACAAAAGTACAATTTCTAGTGATTTTCATGCTGCCAAGAAAAAAGGTAATAAACATCCTGGTTTTATTTTACTATAATTAAAGTGTTTAGGTTATTTACTTATTATGGAATTATTTCAGGAATATATGTAATTCTTCAAAGGAAAATTTCAGGTGAAGAACAAATTTTAAAGCTTAATGAGTTTTAGTGTTACTCTCAGTTTCGCAATATTATATAAACTGTTAAGTTGTATCTTTATAAAAATGTTATTTGGAGTTTGACAACTCAGCCTATTTGATTTGAAAATAGTCTGAAAGAAATTAGCACAGCTCAATAGATTCCAAGAAACATATATCATTTGTCTGCAATGGAGTTTATTATAGGTTTTGAAAGTTTCTTTGTCTTTTTTTCTTCTTCAGTAAAGCAGTATTGTGTTTTTGTTCTTATTTTTTTCCAAGTCAAACTTTAAAATTTATAGAACTTCTTTTCATAAAGGAAATGCTCCACTTTTTAAAAAAAAATTTTACCAGAGACATTTCTGCACTTAATACATTGCTCTTCAACATTTTATTATGGCAAAGCTTAAACATGCAGAGATAATGTGTACTCATTTTCCATCATCAAAACATGAATATTTAAGGGTTGTTTTAAACTTAGAACTAATATGCTTTAAACTTAGAACAACCTATTAGGAAATTGAGTAGAAAAATTAATGAAATACTTTCCCTGTTTACATAATTTCAACGGAAGATACTGAGTTTTTAATTTTTAGCTCATTGGAGAATTTTATTTTGATATAGATTCAACAATAATTATGAAGTATTTTGAAAATCATGATACCAAAAAAAAAAAAAGCTTTCCTAAGGATAGTTTGAAGCACATCTTGCTCCTACTAATTTATTTCAACTTCACTTACATGCTATTTTTTTATAGAAGCTTTCAATTTGTGAAGCAATTCAAGAATACCTTAAATAATAGGTAGTGTCCAGTGATCAAGACAATGAGGGACTGGTGTAAAGATTGACAAATCAATGGGTTAGAAGAAAAGCTTAGTGAAATAGAAAAGAGAGCCCAGAAGCAGATCTACATTTGTATAGATAGTCACTTGGTTTTTGACAATGGTGGCAAAACAATCTAACAAGGAAGAAAGTATTTTGAACAAATGGAGTGAGAATAATTGAATAGGGAAATTAATGAATCTTAACCCTTTACCTCATCCACCTAAATGCAACTAAAGTGTATGGCGTTTTAGAGGAAACTGGATTAGCTTTGTGTCTTCAGGGTAATCAAAGATTTCTTAGGTCATTACATGCAATAACTTTGAAATGACTTAGAAACAGAGTTCATGAAAATTAAAAACTTAATCATTGACTGATACTGTTAAGAGTAAGTAGTATCAAACCGTGACAGTTTAGAAATAACTTGATTAAGCAACTGTATTAATAGGAGTGTGGATGTTTTTCTTATCCTAATAAATCTTAATAGGAAATACCATAGTGTATGATTTCTTTTATCTGCTGCTGCTTTGATGGTTGCAAATGCAACTCCTCATGGCTGTTTCTACCAGTGAGTAGCGTCAGTTTGAAATGAAGCCATGCAGCTGGTTATTTGCCAAGGAGTCGATATCAACTCAAGGCTAGTGACTAGAAACCGGAGGGATAAAGAACAATCAGGCAATACAGAAATGCCAGTTATGTGGAAAGTTAAAAACAACAACTAAAAACATTGAAAGAAAGCCTCTTTTGTTCATTTCACTTTGGACCCTTTCTAGGGAGTTTCTATTCTGTTTTATTCCTTTTAAAATAGTAATATCTAAGGGGTGATGTACTTCTGGTATTATAAGCAAAAAGAAAGTTGGCCATCAGCTCGGGCACTGGCTAGTCTCATTTCGTATGTTTCGTTTCCAAGAGAGCTGTCCTTTCACTGTAGTCAGCTGGCTGGTGCCATTAGAAGAGACAAATATTTGCATTGAGACCATGAGTCATGGGCACGCATGCTGCTCCTCTGCGTGGAACTGGGATACACACTTTCATGTATATTGTGGTGCTAGGTGACAAATCGATCCCATTAGTTAATCCTCGTATTTGCGTGTAACATTCTGAATATTCAGAAATGACTTTTTTCTAGTATGATTTTGTTTCTTTTGTGTGGGGGTGGGGTGTCGAGGGGGCAAGCCCTTAAGGTTTTTTTCTAAAATGGGAAAAAATGAGAGAAAACAGGACTAACATTTAAATTACCCATAGGCCTATCACCTGAGATGACCAGAATGACCACATTAACATTTATTGTGTTTAGTGACCCTTTTTGTTCTGTGTGTGCACATGCTCACGCCGCGCCTCCCTCCCCCTCCAATGATTATATGTAGCGTGCATTAGTTGGGAGCTCGATAACACGCGTTTTTCAGTTTAAGTCCGTGATGAGATATGCAGCTATGAGGATTCATACTGGGAATTTTGAATCTACTTAGTTCTTGAAAACAATCTTTGGAAGATTTGGAGGAGTAGACTTAAGTGTTGGTCTTCAGAAATGACTCTCAGCAAAACATATCTGCAATCATCCAAGACCCTGCCCACCTCTGGTATTACCAGTTCATGAAAATGCTGCCATAGCTGTGCTCCAGGAATAAGGAAACTGCCCAAACTCACATGGGTAGAAAAATCCAACCTCTGTGTGGTTAAACATGCTGCCTCCAAATAGCTAACACAACAGGCAATGCCTAACACGAACTTTACTGTAGGGGAGCCCAGGGAGTTACTTTTTAGCTTTCCAGTCCCTGCAGCAAAAGAGATAGGCGAGAAAGAGGAGATTGGAATGGATGCCCAGTCACACAGTATGTTCTAAAGCAGTTTTTCCTTTCTGCACATATATTTATTTGAGAGAAATGAGAAAGTAGAAAAAAATATGTTTTAAAATAATGCATTACACAGACATAGTCACTTAATATTTTGGTGTATATTTTCCTAGAGAATGAATATGTCTATACTCAAATATATCCATAGGTATTTCCTTTGTGTGAAAATGAGATCATATGATTGTTTGCTTTTTTCTACCACAAACATCTTTTCATATATACACTTAATATATTTTTGTAATGACTACTTGGCATTTCATTACATAGACAATGCTTTAATGTAGTTAGCAAGTCCCTAGGTAGGAGTAAAGCATAGAAATAATAATTTTTTTAAACTGCATAGTTGGATTTTCAGGATAATATTTCACTATTCTAAAGTAATTAAATTTTTTAGATCAGTCATGCTTGCCCTTTAATTTCCTTAACAGTTGTTACTTGGCCTAAATACAACGATGGTTGGATGAAGATTCATCTTTTCTAACACCTAATATTTTTTGTTTGAGGCACAATCATACTGCTTGAAAACTAGTCCTTTAGTAATTTATTCATATATCTGAGTTCTAGACCTGGAGAGAGAATGATGAACAAAATAAAATCCATTCCCTCATAGTGAAACAAACCAACCCAGGGCCATTTACTCAATTTTAAGTCACAGCAACCCTGTGCACGGTTCCCAAGGCTGCAAATCGTCATGAGAGCAGACAGTCTTTACTTTTGCTCCAGGAGCAGCAGCTGATGAGCAGGGTTTGATCAAGGAGCCTGCCGCTCACAGTCCAGCACTCAGCTACAGCACCCCCGGGGCTCCGCAGGTAGACAAGGGTTTAATGGAGTTTTTTTCAAGTAGAACCTGCAACTGTAAAGGAAAAGAAAGCAGGGTAAAAGGATAGAAGAAGTTGAGGTTTAATAGGATGATCAAGGAAAGTTCCTTTAAGGAAATGATGTTATGTCGAAATCTAATGAAGGGAATTTCCTGCTACAGTACTAAATCAGTCTGTAGAAATGGATTACATACAGGCAGAACCAAACATGGAGTAATTCAGAATATTCATTTACAATCATTTGGTAATTACTTGGTGTCTTAATTATCTAGTGCTGCCATAATAGAAATACAAGTGGATGGCTTTAACAAATTGAAATCATTCTCTCATGGGTCTAGAGGCTAGAAGTCACAATTAGTGCCGGCTCTGGGGAAAGGCTATTTCAGATCTGGAGGAAGGTCTTAGTCTCTTCTCAGCATCCTGTGAGCCTGGTATTCATTGGAGATCTGTATGTGTTGTGGCATCAATCTTCCTCTGGGTCTAGAATGTTCTAAGCCTAGGGACCCTGGGGCCATAGGACATACTCCTGACCTTTCTTGATAGTAGGCAAGGTGATGCAAGCTATCTCCCCAGAAATTCCCCTTATATTTGATCTGAGCTATGGCCTGGGTAAGGGGATTACTCAAACTCAAAAAACTCCAACTTATTTCCATTGAGTTCATTCCATCTCATAGTGACCCTCTAGGACAAAGTAGATTGCCCCAATGGGTTTCAGAGACGAACTTTATGGGAGGAGATAACCTCATCTTTCTCCCTTGGAACAACGTAGTTTCAAACTGCTGACCTGTGGTTAGCAGCCAAAGGCATTTCACTCTAATACAGACCCTTATACTTGATTAGCTGATCACATTAGATGATTACATCATTACACAACTGCCACATCATTGAGACTCATGGCCTATCTAAATTGACACATGCTTTTTGAGGACGCAATTCAATTCATAACACATGGTTTGTGGAAATGTGTTCAGGTGAACATAGGTTGAATAAAATGAGGGTAGATCCATGGTATATGTGCTTTCCAGATTATGCAGGTAGTTCACAGAACATGCCTCTCTCCTATAGCAATGATTATGTATCGAAGCCATAAAATCAAAGCAAAAATATGCAGGTGTATATTTTAAAATATTGAGTGCTTTCCCCTGATTATGATTAAAGATGTTAACATGAAAACTAAAACAATAAAATTACTTTTCAAAAGTGGGAGAGAATAACATAGAATAAAGTGTAATTGCTTTCCAATATACAGAGAATACCAAAGTAACAACACAAACACAAATCCAGGAGAAAAAATGGCAAGTAATACCAAAAGGCAATTTATGAAGAAATTAAATGGCCAGTAACATAAAAGATGGTATATCCCATATGTGATCAAGAAAATAATGAGATTAAAAAGTAATAAAAGGATGGCAGATTATCAAAACATTTAAATGATTGTAAATAGCCAGTTGGCCAGTGTAGATACAATTGGGCTGGTCATGGAACATTGCTTAAAGTCTAAATTAAGAGTCTTTTTGAAAGGCAATAATATGGCATTCTCAAAATCTAGGTGGTGCACATATTTCATCACCACAATGCCTCCCCCAGGAATCATACTACAGATGAATTCACATAATTATGCAGATATCATATTTTATGAATGCATAACTTTCTCTTTAGAAAGTTATTCTCATTCTAGTTCTCAAAATATTTTTACAATCATTTTTCAAGTACAATGAGATAATGAAGCGCACATACAGACACCCAAAGATAGAAATTTAATAAATATTTTTTGTAATAGTAAATACTGAAGACATTCTAAAAGCATAGCATAGTGAAGGGGTAAATAAATTATGGCATATTGGAATCTGGAGCCCTGGTAGCATAATTGGTTACTTGTTTGGCTGTTAACTGCAAGGCCTGCAGTTCGAATCCACCAGCTGCTCTGTGGGAGAGATTAGACTTTCTGCTCTCATAAAGATTTACAACCTTGGCAATCCAAATGAGTAGCTCCACACTGCCCTGTAGATTTGTTCTGACTTGGAATCAACTTGATTGCTGCAGGTATTTTATTTTTTTATGTGGGAGCCCCATGCCAATCACTGTGTGAACAAAATATAGATTTTCTATATATTAACATGGAAGGATGTCTGTGGTATATTCTTGAGGATAATGAAAGTTGCATTAAACTAATGTGTGATGACATGTTCTAAAAAAAAATAGGTATGTATAATAATACAAAAATGTTTGTGTGCATTACACCAAGTTCTTAACATTGTTTATATCTGGGACTTAGGAAAGGATGGTTGAAATGGGGGACAGTCCTTTACCAATTTACACATTGCTGAAATAATTGAATTTTTCTCTTATCAGAATATATTAATTTGGCATCTTTAAGAACTGAGTAAATAAAACCTATATATAAATTAGCCAGTTACTTTTATAACAAATTTATGGACAGAAATTCTTTCAATAAGATGCTCCTTAAATACACTTCATATATGAATGAAGCATAAGCAAATGCAGCTTAAAAATAAACAGATACTGAGTAACATATTGTTCAATCTATGCATACCCATGATGATTTCCTAGCAATAATAACTCCTGATTGTGGCATGCTCTTCCTATATAATGCCCCTTGCCTTAACATTTGGAACAGATTCCTATATCCTCCCAGCAGTCTAATGTGGTAAATGTTATCTTAATTTTACAATTATTACTTACTTGCCTTTCTTCCTCCGATTCCTTTTGATTCAAGCAATCTTTAACCCAGCTGCTCCAAGCCTGGTCCATAGACCAGGGGCATCGGGAGCTTTTAGAAGTGCAGAATCCCAAGTCCTATC